AATATTACTTTTTGACTGTAAATGCTTGAGTGCTCTATGAAAATATTAAAATTACTATATAGTTGCCTATAATATTTGAGGAGTTCCCTCGATTTCTCATGGATCCCATCATCAAAACTCGATTTTGAAAAGAATGGGACCAATCTGGAAGCATATCCTTTCAATCATAAAAAAAATTTTGCAAATCCGTCCATAAACGACGGAGTTCTGAGGTAACAAACATAAAAAAAAAAAAATAAAAAAAAAAAAAAAAAAAAAAAAACAATCGAATTGAGAACCTCCTCCTTTTTTTGAAGTCGGTTAAAAACCACAATCACTGTAAATTTTAACTCTGTAATCTTAAGGTTTTATATTGTGAGAACTAATAATAAAGCATTATTATAGTATTTAAATATCACCTTGATAAATCTTCATCCACTTATCTTCTTTTTAATCCCTACCAAGGTCTCTCTTCCTTGAATACATTGTGGAAATACTTCGCAAAAAAGCCCTTAATCATTGTACCCAGTAATCACATTAATGTAAGTATGTGTGTTCGAGTTCGAGAAAGTAATATATTTTTCCGTTTATAAATACACCTATCCGGAAAAACTTCAACAGTAACCCGGGTAACATTTATTATTACCACCTTTATCCTTATACTTACGGGGTAACATATAAAAATATAATTTTCTACTCACAAAAAAAGATGGGTACACTTCGACAAATACCCGGATAAATTTAAATCAGTAATTTTATTCAGATACAAATAAATAATAGTACCTATTTTTATTTTAAAAAATATAAATTTGATAGAAATAGAAATAAAATTAAAAACTTTAAAAACAATGGTTCTCTCAGTTCAGTCAATAAGTATGTTTAAATTTACTAGAAATATTTATAATAGATTACAGAAAAGTCATAGCAGCTCAACATTTCCTACAAACTAAACATGAGCTTTAGCTACAAGATTCCACTTCATAAACACACATTCATAGGTGCATTGCAAATTAGATAGGTGTTTGAAAAAAACAACACTTTTAATTGGTTCCTGGTGAATTATACTTACAATTAAGAAGTTACAATGAAAAAATAAGCTAAGAATCAGAAAATGTTGTGCTGCTATACACAAAGGCTTCTTGTACCTCATAATTACTGGTAGGTACTACATTTTAAAAGAGATTCATAAGTACTATAAACCTCCACTTTGCCCTACAATTCAAAATTAGTTGGATAAGGCACCCGTTTCTATTCACGGGGTTCTTTTTTGTAAAGGGAAAATCATCAAATGACTTCTCCCGCCCAGGGCCGGGCGGGAGGGAGTGTCAGACTCTTACTGACTTAAAACCCCCCCGTTCCTCCTTCTGCTCTGGGCCGAGGTCGCGGTGCCTCATTGTGCTTACCCCGCAACCCCGGTTGATTCACAAGGGCCTAACGGTACATTATTCCGCTTATCCTCAAGAGTTCAAAGCCTGACAAGAGACCTGACTAGTAGGTAATATGTCCGATTTAAATGTACCTTTCTAAGATATTATAAACACCACCGTATGTATATACGGTAAAGAAAGACATATTAAGAGGGAGTGTCGACTCTTACTGACTAAAAACTTCCCCGTTTCTTCTCCTGATCCAGGCCTCGGACACAGTACTTACCTTATTAATCTTGACCCGCGACCCTGGCTAAGTCTCGGCGATGTTGGACCCTATCTGTGGTAGTCTATTGGCTCTTTAAGGGAAACCTGTGTTGATCAAATGTGAAGTTTAATATTCAATCCTTCTCCGTGTAAGAAGAGGCCTTTTTTTGTCAGGGGAAAATCATTCAATGACTTCTCCCGCCGGGCGGGAGGGAGTGTCAGACTCTTACTGACTAAAAACCCCCCCGTTCCTTCTCCTGCTCTGGGCCGAGATCGCGGTGCCTCATTGTGCTTACCCCGCAACCCCGGTTGATTCACAAGGGCCTAACGGTACATTATTCCGCTTATCCTCAAGAGTTCAAAGCCTGCCAAGAGACCTGACTAGTAGGTAATATGACCTTTTCCGATTTAAATGTACCTTTCTAAGATATTATAAACACCACCGTATGTATATACGGTAAAGAACGTAATAAACATATTAAGAGGGAGTGGCGACTCTTACTGACTAAAAACTCCCCCGTTCTCGTGCTCCTGACCTCGGACGCAGTACTTACCTTATTGAGCTTGACCCGCGACCCTGGCTAAGTCTCGGCGATGTTGGACCCCAAGTTTAATATTCAATCCTTCTCCGTGTAAGAAGAGGCCTGGACTTAGCAGTAAGCACTTATAGGCTGATAGTGTACTTGTAGACTTAAACTACAACCTAGTTATTTCTCGAGTGCACCATTACACCTCCAACTACCCTTGAAAGCTATTCTCGTCTGTGAAAACGCCTACACTCAGTATGATACGTAATATGCGAGTCTTCAGGATAATTAGTCGGATTACATGCGACGCTTGTATTTGACTGCCTAATTACGCCCATACAATGCTGAAAGACAGCTTCTGGCATTATCTATGTGTGTACGTATTCCCGTTATTGTAGATGCTATGAATGCTTTTCTTTGCATGGGTATAACGTTGATACTGAATGTCTCTATTGTTTTATGTTATTTATAATTATAACTTTCTCTTGAATCAATCTTTCTATTAAGAAAACCGCAACAAAATCCATTGTGTAGTTTTTTTTTTTTATGTAATAAGTCGGCAAACGAGCAGACGGATTACCTGATGGTAAGCAATCAACGCCGCCCATGGACACCCGCAACGGAGGAGTCACGAGTGCGTTGCCGACCTATTAGGGATTTGGAGATTTAGGGATTGGGGAAGGGTCCGGGAAGGGGAAGGATTGGGCCTCCGGTAACCTCACTCACACGGCGAAACACAACGCTGTGGTTGTTTCACGCCTGTTTTTTGTGAGGCCGTGGTATCACTCCGGTCGAGCCGACCCATTCGTGCCGAAGCATGGCTCTCCCACACTTAAATATGTAATGTAATGTAGTTTTAATTATTTACGCATACATAGGGATATAGGAATAGAGCGAGCGACTCTGTTCTATACTGTGTAGTGATATTATGATAGCTTTTAGCAACAATTCTATAAGAGTTGATAAAGTATTATATTATTTTAGTATTTGTCTTTAAATTTATCTTAAGTTTCTAATCCAGCTAACCTGAGTCAGTCAGTTAATGGACTTTGCTTAGGCACTTTTGTTCACTTCACACAATCTCATTTCAATTACACTTAAGCGGAATTACTAGAACCTCCTTGCACTGTCACAGAACAATATGACTGAAGTTACAGTGTAGGTATAGGTCTACCACTTATGTTTTTTTTTTTTGTAGATGCTAATAATATTGTTAATGTCTTGCTATTGAACCAACCATAGCCAATACTGTTCGTGTTTTATCCTCTTCTACAACCAAACTCTTAAATGTTCACCAATCAAAAGTCCTTGAAGATCATAATGATTAACTTATCTAACTTTGCTCATATACTATACCACTTCTTAAACATCTAAAACATCATTGGAACATCGTTTCATATTCATAAAACAATACCTTTTTTACCGACTTTTGTAGGTTTACACAACCGTAAGATATTCAATGGACCTAATGCAGCAAAGTTAATTTAAAGTAAATAACAGGCTTAGATTTACTTGCACGTAATATTGTAGAAGAAAATCCACCTACATTTTCTACTTAAGTGCCTAGGTAAGTATTAAGTTTTCCAAGTTCCTTATCTTAAATATTTAAGTCAAGAACTTGGGTTTGCATGTGGAAACTTTGGTCTGAATTCAAGACAACTGGGTAGGTAACTAGTCGGTTTGCCAAGTTATAAAACTTTTGCGATGTCTCAAAGAAAGTTTATTTTATGACCTGAAAATGGAAATTGTTAGTACGAATTTCTTTTTGGTTACATATATATGTCACTATAGTCATATGTCGAAATTTGTATCTCAAGAGTCAAGACTGCCAGCCGGGGTTGCGAGTCAAGCCCAATAATGTAAAGAATAATAATATAGTACAAACTCGGCCTAGAGCAGGAGAAATACATATACATATATTAACTAGCAGACCCAGCCACGTGTTGCTGTGGCTATGGTAAATAATATTGTGACTATAATTGAGATGTAAGCTATCCTATATTTCAAGTTGGATCAAAATGCACACGGAATTCAAATCAAATTTAAAATCGGTTTATTAGTTTAGGAGTCTATAGCGAGCAAACACTTGACACGGAATTTTTATATATAAAGATATAACGGAGTGATTTTTAATCAGGAAGACTCTGACTCTTCCTCTCACCTCACCCAATGCGATAGAATAAGTAATTTGATGGTGTTTTCCCCTCGACAAAAAGAGTGAAGACTGGTCTATTTCAATACAGTTGCTTAATCAATTGCAATTAACTCCTGTTCTATATAATCTAATCTAAAAACTCCATCGATTTTTCTAACATACTAGACAGATTTGAAAGAAATATATATATATCCTATCAAGTCGTCATTAACAAGAGTGCTTCTGTTGCCAAAGAGAATTCCGGTTGTCTGCCATCGACGTGTGGATAAACGGACTAACGAAACCTCAAAGCTATGATGATCGGTCTGTGTAGTACTTGCCTATTGAATTCATCCACCTGCATTTGACAGTGCACAATGCCTAGACAATAAGAAGAAATGATTTGACAAAACCATAATATTGTAGGACATATATAGTAAGACAGTGAGGTGAGATTATCAAAAAAATCACATATGTACTTTTTAATTAGCATTCATTTATTCTGGATAAACCGTTATTTTACAAAGTGCTTACAATACTCTATTAACTAATACTAAGTTACAATAGTATATACCTATAAATAAATACATTATTTATTTAAAATCACAACTTTATTCAAGGCAATTTTAGGATCAATCTTTTAGTGTATAGTCGCTAACAGAAAGAAAACGGATTATTAAATTCAACACTAAAATATGTACAAATAATAATATTCTAGAGAAACGTCGTCTATCTTTTAGCAACTATATGTATTATATTTAATTATTAGGAAAGTTACATGTCTATTGATATTTTGAAACATTAATTCAACATTTTTTTACTAACATTGATTATATCTAAAATACAATATACATTATAACAACTTATAAAATGTAGCAACGATCTATATCTAAAATAGGGTAGTATCTAAGGGAAAATTTGTATTTAGTGGGCGCATTCTAGTTGAGGAACCATTAAACATTATTCAATATAAAACATACTACGAAACTACGTATTATACAACACATCTCTATGATATAGAAAATACTAATGAAGGCTCTGAAAATATCTATCGGATAACATTATATGTACATCTTTATTGCGTCGTTGTAAATATAAATATTCTTTAATAAAGAAATATTAGATTCGGTATTATGAAGGCACATTTCGATATGATCTGGACCATGTATTGTGAATCTAAATACAATGTAATAAAAACTATTATTTCGTAAGGCATTTATCTGGTTCTCTAGTGCACTCTGCCCATATCCATACCCCCAAGTTGGCCTAAGTAAGGGTAGCCGGATTTGGCTTCAGTGGGCGAATGCGCGTGCGAGGCGTAATGAGACGCGTTGGTGCCGAAGAATGAACTGTAACAAAAGAAAAAAGAATATTAAAAATCTAGCATTTCGTTTTACCTTACATCGGAGCTCGTTATTTCCAATAACTATTATTAGCTCATACTTCTTAAGCCTATACGTAGGAGTCACGTAACAATTCATTGAAGACTACATAAAATCGAGGTCTTTTTACTTCGCTTTCACAGACCCGTCTTCAATACTGTCTTCAGTACGTCACTTCTATGCGTTAAGAACCTACATTGCATATTATTCCTTAAAGCGTGGGATACTGGCCGTATTGCGAGATTTAATCGCTTCATAGGTTCCGTTCGATGAATAAACGTAGTACCGATCTATCGATTACACTAAACATAATTAAATAATAACACAGTGTAAGCTCTAATGCCGCCTTGTAATTGTGACTCGTACCGGCCTTCCGAACTACATAATTTACTCGAGGTCTCTATATGCACAATAAGCAGCGGGATTTTCGGAAGCATTTCGTGACCGGGCGTGCAATAAAATTTTAATTTATACTTAATACAGTGGCTAATACATTATTAAGGTACATTAGTGTCGTACATCGCTCATAAACAACGAAGGCCGCACATAACGCTACGATCACAATGAAAACCTACATTTTGCTGCTCCAAATAGCATAATTACTTTTAAAAACGTTTTCTTTTCTGAATATTATTCCAGGTAGTTCCGAGAGCTAGCTAGATTTTGTAGGCACGACTATTGGTTATTAGTTATTACTTAACTTCATCCCACATAGCATGGTGTATCCTTATGGTAAATATGTGCATAAACATTTTAACATGAGAATGCAACACGTGCGAAAACAATAACCGAGCGAGTGTTTCTGTGGAGGAAAGTGTTCGAGGCAAGGTGGTTGCTCCGCACCGCACGCGAGGCTTACTGCAGTTTAGGAAGTCGAATGCAAATAGCTGCAGATAAGTTTTAATACCGGGTTCGCGTTAGCATAATGCTTAGGTTCACTGCACTAATGTCACGTTCGGCCTCTCATTAATTGCCGAGCCGGCCACAAAGCAACGTGTGTTTATCTGTTATCCGCTACGTATTGTACCCGCGTAGATTTCTAATATCAATAAATGATCGGCCAGCATTACTTGGAAGCCATTAACCTAAACAAACGCTGTGTTATTACTGTTTCCAAGTGAATGAAAGAGGATAAAATGTTACGTAAACTCAATGAACTTGTAACGAAAAATATTAAAATCAATAAACAAAGGGCAGCTGATTGTGTTTACTTTCATCGATTATGCGAATGAAATGTGACGTTTAATTAAACATTTCAGTAACTGACGGCAAAGAATTAATATCCGTAATAATGAAGCGGCATTTCTCTTTAAAACAACGATACGTACAATTTGGAATATTATTCCGAATCAAAAAAGTTTATAGATAGTGGTGAGTCACAAATGTGATTAATATGATCGAGGTATCGATATGCTCTATAAGTACGGAGAAGTTTTTATTTCCCTACGTCGATAAGGTACCTAATCGTTTTTCATTGTTTGCAGCGTACAGTAAACGAGTACACCATAATTTCAAGTAAATACTAGTGTCGTAAAACCACCGGAGCGACAAATAAAATAAACTATGAGGTGACAATCACAATCGCTATTTATGGCCAATGACTGTCCAAGTGGCCATGTTAATTATAGCGATACGTAATTACGTACGTATCCCACTATTAGATAGGCAGCTTGCTGATTTATTGTGACTCATGGACGTTGTACAAAATATAGCTTTTCCGGCTTCAGCAACATCGCATACAGCCGACAAAGGTTTCATCAAACGAATTTCCTTATATTAACAAATAGATATGAAACGGCCATTAGCCACACTTTCGGTATACAATACAATATTTTTGGCAGACAAAAATAACAAATAGAGTTGAAACGAAGTGTTACGTCAATCAAGCGCGCGCGAGGACTAGATAAGACATACCGACACGCAAACGTAGCTAACCCATATATTATTGGTTTGTCTTCTATTGTACAAGAAGAGATATTGTGTGTGGTCCAATGTAAGGTTTATAGACGTGCTTTGTCTCGATAACACAGATAAATGTCGTCGCCGTATACAGTACAAAGCGACAATGTATTTGTCACATTGTCATTCGACAAATTCACTTTGGTAGTTACATATGCTATCGACACGGGCACGAGCGAAATGTTTTCTACGACCCTCTTTCTCTTATAATAAAACTCCGGTTCTAAACGTGATAAAACATCATGGTATGTTGTAATATAATTTTAAATAACAAAGTAAAAATTTAATTAAAAATCGATGCAAAATCACTATAAAATTCGCAGCCCTATTGCGTTCACGATCGGATCGGCGTATTACGAGGCGCGCGCTGTAATAACCACCCGCGCGGCGTATAATGGCCGACTTCTTACACTCTTAATTGATTAGCGGCCGCTTCGGCTAATGATAAAGGAAGGTGAAAAGAAATAAAACGTACGCACCCCGATTTGCGATCGAGCCCACGCCCGATCGATAGCCACCGGACGCGGCATTACACGCATCCTATGTACACGGTCGAGAATCACGAGCTCACGGCACGAGATGACGACGACAGGTCGCGTCATACTCCTCACTTGTGCATATTGACTAACACGAAATGATGTCATTGCGAACGTGCGCCCTAAACCTACTATTAGTGTAACAGTCATATCTGGTATCAACATAATATATAGTTATTTAAATGGTTGGCAGCAAAGGTCACTTTATTGTAATTGCATATTCATCCGCATAAGCTAAGCCAGATGAGTAGCTCAACATCAATAATTCATAGAGCTACTTAGTTGCCGTCGGGGATTATTGAGATGTTTTAAACCGTGTTTGTTTTAAACGAATGTTATGTTCAATTGAACGTGGAATGAATCAACTTACCTATAGTTTTCAGGCCAGGCGCTGACTTCTGCGAGTTTGTTTTGCGCGTGTCCGCTGAGTTGCCTGGTGGTCCAGTGGTTGTGCGCTGACATGGCGTGCTCTTGCTTGGAGTAGTCTCCATATCCATACGGGTGAGATACAGGTTCACTTGGATTCGCGTATGTTGAATGTTGGTAAGTGAGTGCACTGCTTTGGTTTGCAGAAGGACTCGTCGTTGAGGGACTCGAGCTCGGAGGAGTTGGTTCAGTTGGTGCTTGCAAGGGAGTAGCAAGTTCTGAAGAGTGGGAAAGGGGAGTAAGATTGCCGGAGGAGAATGAACTTGACGTTGGGGGATGGAGACTGGAAGCTGCAAGCGCTGACTGGCATACAGAAGGAGCAGTCAATGCTGATTGGTGAAGGGAAGGAGCTAGAGCTGAGTTCAGGACGGAGCTGGAGCCTAATGCTGATGAATATGATTGTTGCCATGATGCACATTGTGCGTTAAATGTAGATGGAGGCTCATATTGTTGGTGTACAGATGGGAACGCAGACTGCAGGGACATCGTGTTGAAGGCGCTCAGTTGTTGCGAGTTCAATTGTTTTCGAAGTCGAGCTCTCCGGTTAGAAAACCATACCTAAACAAAATAAACTTTAATTAACTCCTTGTTAAGAAAATTAAACATTACTGATTGCTCAATGCAATCTAAGCGAGGAGTCAAATCAGTTAATTACGTTTATAATTAATATTGTTACAAAGTCTTCACTTTATAAGGCTACGTTCGTAAGCCTCACAAAAAACATGATTTGAATTTATGTGAGCAAAATATGACGCTTTGACAGTAGCTGCGATTGATACTGCTATAAATATTACGAATGCCCAACTCATCAATAGATAATTACAGTGGTAAGTCGATTATACTGTCTTATAGAAGCCTACAATTACGAGGGGCAACTAATTGAACAAAAACTGATAAAACATCGGTAGCGATGAACAACATATGGTAGCTCTTACTATTGTTGTAATTAATTATAAAGGTAATTATGTTTTTTTAGTGCCACGCTTTTGTAGGGGCGGGAAGTGAGTGCCGCCAACAATGGGATTGTTTGATAGCGTTCATCTATCATTGATACTCCCAACCTGTTTCGGGTTGGCTACCGATACTCATTGTATCGTATGCTCTAGAGAAAACAAATTACAGGTTTAATCAGACGTGTTAAAACTTTGACTGTTGGTTTATACACATTTTTATAGGACCAATGTTTCTGGAAAAGTAACTATTTGTAAGCATTATACAAACCTGAACTCTAGCTTCAGTTAGCTTGGTTTTCTGTGCGAGTTCCTCTCTAGTGTATACATCAGGGTATTGAGTCCTGGTGAAAGCGCGTTCCAAAGCTTCCAGCTGATCTCCTGAGAAGGTGGTCCTAGACCTTCGCTGTTTCCTCTTCAACGTGATTCCTGGCTCCGACTCGGTATCTGAGTCTTCACAAGATGATGGACCTTTTAACATAAAAAATACTTTGTTGATGCAAGGCGGTAAGTGCGCAAGCAATAAGGCTTAACACGTTCACTGCGCCATCATTTTCAAAGAACTTTCAGCTGGTGCTTTGGAGACCTAAAAGATCTCGAAACTAATCTGCCCTTTAGTGCGTTTGAGACCTAATCAGTCTCCTAAAAATACAGTTTTGACAATAACTCATATCTTCCAGAAAACCAATGACATATATTTTAAAGTTTATGTGGGTGAAAGATAGCCTGTTGCTCTATATTTTGCTAGGTTCGCACGCAGTTATGACATTTGTATAAACTACAAATACCAAAAAAAAAAATAGGTATCGGTCGTATCTCATACCGCAACCGAAGATAGTTCAATATGTGTAGTAAGTAGTGATGGGAACAAAATAATATCTCAGTTGTCGATTAAAAAATTATTAATACTAGGTACTTCTAGTTTACTATAACAACGTTTTTGTTATAATGACTGAAATTGTTATTGCTAATGTTACCAGAAACTTGCCAGAGAGATGTGAAACCGGGTTCCCCGCCGTGTAGTAATGCTTACATAATTGTAACACTATAACATTAGAGATAAGCAGCAAAGCCCACCAGGAATGCGACTAAGATAAGACAGTCACAGCAACAACCAAACATTTTCAGGCAATCAACAGAAGAAGTACATTAACACAAAAACTACGTTTAGTCCAAAAAAGCCAGGCACATGTACTAACATGTGCCTGCCAGTCGGCAATAATGCCTAAATTAATGTTATTTAAATTGTATCCAAGAAGACGTCTATTCAGTAAACTGGAATGATTGAAATGGTGCATAATAAGCTCGACTTCATGCGAACCGTGCTGCAGTTAGTTGACGATGCTTAGCATATGCGTTGTCTGGAACCATTACCTTAGTTTCTGGAGAGATTTTAGCTACCTTTATGAGCATATGTTTCCTTCTAAAATCACTCATTGTTAATAAAAAGTAATCAACACGTACACGACGTATATACGCGAGTGTTATTTCCGTTTATCCACGTCGATGCTAGGACAACACTAACACGAGTCACGGAGCGCCCGCGCCGCCCTCCCTTCCTCTCTTGCGTCTACGAGGCCTATGATTCCACGAGTATCGACATATCTCGTAACGCAAGAAATAAAAATAATTATAGTACTGTGCGTTAGGGATCTAATCCATCTCTAATTTATTTTTTAATGTCTTTAAATTCAGTTTTAAGTAGAACGCAAATATGTATATGTGTCTTACTCATACATAAAGAACTTTACAAGTTAGATCCTCCCGCAAGGAGTGAAACAACACGATTTTATTCAACGCACAATAGAAAAGTTCTGCAAGAGATCTGATAGATCTCGTAATGCAGCGAACGTGTTAAATTAATATCACCGAGAGACTATAATTCCACGGTTTCTATTAAATCAATGTAAGTATGTTCCAAATGGCCTGAGTCACATAGATGACTTTAGAAATAATATGAGTTTTGTCGTCGTCGTAATAATTTTTATTGCGACTTTCTAACGTCATTTGTTTTTGTTTTACGTCGATTATATTGGACTACCGCGCGGACCACACGCGGCCTCTATTAAATTAAACGTAACCACATTACACTACGCCTCTACTAGCCTCAAATGAATTCTTCGGGGCCTTAATAAATATTACTTTATGCTAGCTGATAATAAAATGAAATTAGATTATAGAGAACTTGATCACGTTCATATCCCGTGCTTTGGACATCAGATGAAGCGTCGGATCGGACTATCATTTTTTGCTGTTTGGACCAACGTTTGGTTGGAAATGAACAAAGGAAAAATAAACAAAAGTACAAGTATGCAAATTTTCAATATGCAAAACTTGTCCGGACCCTGAAATAATAATCAACTGCCGATGTTCCCAACGTATGCAAATATTTCCACGAAAAACTCGCGACCAAAATGTACCGTTACCCACCGTCACAGGACAGGCACGAACAGCAAATTTTCAATACGCGAGCTCGCGCAGTAAAGGGGGCCGCTTTTCCAGTGTAGATATTACTTTGGCCGCGCACAACTTAATATGCATAATCTTATCGGTGCGCAGAATCTCGCCGGCAAAACCGCGCTCCGTCACTGAACCGGGATATTAGGAGCGCCATTTTATATTGGATAGCTATACGGCACAAGACGTGCAGTACGGACAGATTGTCGTAATGCAAGCCCCGCGGCCAAACGCGATGGGATAATAACACCTTTGGATACTAATTTCATTTTTATAACCTACAATTTCGAAGCCGACACAAGGGGCGCTGCCGTGGCGTGCGCGCGCGCCGCGCCCGCTTCACTTTTACGTGGATTATTAACTTTATACGCCATTTTGTGAAGTTTGCAAACGTTCCGACAGTCTCATTATAAGAATAAATTTATAATAATAGTATGCTTTGAACTAAATTAAGTGATTATGGTCTCGAATCAGCGTTAAGGACTACGATGACACGGCGAGTTATTTACGCGTCATTATGTCGAAGGTTTCGTCAGACACTTTTTAAATAATTGAATTGAATCTGTCAGGGACTTTGAAATATTACTAAACACTTCTCACCCACATCGACCTTGTACGTGGAAATAATAGACTCAGAATAAACCACAGCATAGTTAATTCTTTATCAAGAGAGCAGCACAACAAACTAGAGCAATATAAAGTTTTATGCAAACACACAACGCGGTATTACTTTTCAAGCGGCAAAGTGCTCCTTCAAACTATGCTACCAACTGATACGGCAGTCTACCTAAGGTCACTTCTACAGGTTTGTTCTCATTATGAATTGTTTTTGAAAACATTGCAAATTTAAATCAATTCGATAATGCAATACAATGTCTAACAATCCGAGGTAAGTATTATTACTTACCTAGAATACCATCAATGCTGTGATTTCTTCTAGGATCTGATTCATCCCTTTTGCCTCCTCTTATTAGTCTCGAAATGGAACTCACAGACGGCGCTGTGTTTTTATCACAAATGCCTTCTTTAATAAGTTTATCTCTAATTTCCCAGGAAAATATACCTGGGTTTTGTCTCTTCAGCTCTTCTATCCTGTTCTCAACTTCAGGAGTTGCAACTCTTGGCTTGGACCCACCAATCACACCGGGACGTATGGAGCCCGTTTCCTGGTAACAATAAGAAAACACTTTAAGTTTTACGCTCGTGTTTAAAATAGAGGTTCAATTAATAATCTAAATTTAAAAACTTAAGAATGTATGGTTGTTGGAGAGTTTTCTCACCTGGTATCTATTGAGTATCTTGGAGACGCAGCCGTGCGAGACGCGGAGCTGGCGCGAGATGACGCAGGGCCGCACTCCCGCCGCCGCCATCTCCACGATCTTCAGACGGATGTGGTTCGGCAGCGGACGACCGTTGATGAACACGCCACCCAACTGGTTCATACGACCCTGACCTGTGAAATTAAGAACTCTTAGAATTCTTCTAATTCTTAATGTATCCGCACCATTCCTAGGGCACTAAACTAAACGTAAACAGGGAAAATATATGTAAACCAGTTGCGAATCGACTCACTATAAAAGCTAAGCCCTCTGATTGTGTGTATTCTGCTCGTGAAGAATATATTCCAGTTTCTTTATGTCACTTATTCTTTGGCGTACTCTCGTCTTTTATAGATGTAAATACTTCAATATATTAGATTATTGTGAAATGTTTTGTGGTGCTGTCGCTCGAATGGAGGCGCGTCTTTATATTGGATCTGTATTAGTAGGCCAACCAGTAGCTATATTAAACTCAAATAATGCGTAAAGTATGAATAGCAACAATACATTACGGATCACAAAGCTGCGGCACGGTTGCACGTCGCTCGCTCCTATACGCTCTACAATAATATGTACCTACGTCATCGGTAGGCCTCGATCACCTCGTAATTTTACGTTTCATTGGCAGTGTTCTCAAGCAAGAGTATCCAATTTCTTTTACACGAGTGCGGTCAAGCAGAAACGATAACACTTAAACTATTTCTGGCCTTTGTTGGGATCGACTTGTTACATTTTATGAGTATCGACTTCTGTTCCCACAAAAAATATATGTTATTCCTAGAGATTAAATGTTGTTTCTCAACAGCTCTTGTTGTGCGGAGAATTTACAGAGATTGATGAATCATTCTTAATTATCAACACTCAAAAGAAAGTCATCAAATTTTTAATTGTTATTTTATAGCGATGGGTACCGTGAGCGGTAATTAAGTTGGCGGCTTCAATGGTGTTTGCGAATAAAAATCCCTTGGAATATAAATTGTATTATTTCTGGATATTTTAATGTGGTTATGTGTGCGTAAAGTGTCGCTATTATAATCACATCATTCGTGCGGCCGGTGGTTGGGAGACCACCTAACGTCAAAGGAAGCCGACAGTCGTCGATTTTTGCAGCGCCTTCGTGCATGCATGTTAACTTCTATTGGGAACGAGATGATGATAAAATATATCCAGCAGCTATATTATACAACAGCTGATGCTATTAATGTGAATGTGATGTTGTTTTTTCATGAAATAGCTATGAATCAAACAAAATTACAGATTTTGTTTTGTTTTTAGTTAAAGTTGACACAGAAATTCTTTTCCTACACGTGTTAAGGGAACTTATTTTCATTTTGTAAAAAAAAGATGAACATGAAATTATTTAATTGTGTAGGTATATTAAACTCTAACCGCATAGGAACAGTCAAAAAAACATGTTACAGTGGCATGTTCCACTTGTGAAGGCATTTATAGTTTATCAATTTCAAATAATTCCTCAAAGGTTCCGCCTCATGTAAGGCCCAAGACCCCTACTGAGAACCACCAATCAATTAGACAACATGTCAACAAGTATGTCCTTTGATAAGACAAGAAACCGATACGGATATAAATTATACAATCAAAAGTAGACCATAACACAAACAACTTAGAGTTAATAACTGTATCCATCAATACAAACTCCCGAGCGAACAGGAAAGCTGTTATGAATATAGGATTTTGAACCTTCTTTCTGTGAACAGTAAAACTATTATTGTTTTTGTAATGAAGTACTTTTGTGGTGTCCGAAGTCACGCCGCGGTTCTGCAAGCGATCCCCATATTTTTTGTAGGAGGCCGTAGACGTTGCGGTGCCTCGAAAGCCCATGTTTTTGAGTGTTAATTTTATGTTCCCGAAATATTTATGACGCATAACGTGTCCATAACAACCCCGCTATACAAATGTGGGTGGCTTTGTAGTAATGTATCACTTCATTATAATATAGTTCTCATTTTGGCGAGATAGTTTATAACCTTCATATTTATTAATAGCTCTATTGATTTTTTTGTCATTGGTAATATATCTTTGTATAAGACATCATTCTTTAAATAACAAAATTAAATACATTGATTAGGAAGATACTTAATATTCTTAATCAATACTTTTTCAATCATAACCAGACATTTGAAATTGTGAATGGATTGAATTCGACAAAAAATCAGCAAAACGTGATTCGGATTCGTATATTCAAACGAACTAACAGGATCAGTCAAACACGCAATTGATGAAAACATCACAATAGAATTCACAAAGAGGATGTTAAGTGCACAATGCGTAATAGAATTCGCAAATATTGTAACGCTATTAACGCAAAAGAAGGTGAAGTTAACAACAAATTCAAACATTCATTGGAAACTAATCGTCTGGAAGTGTTCTCAGATCATGCACAAGTTGAGCGCAACAATAACAGCTTCGAGGGTGGTACGGTACGTCAATGTTAGGCACTGCAAATAAAGTTGGATTGACATTAAAAAAAAAACTCAGTCACTAGATCGACGTCGAAAATACGGTAGCCGAATGTATCAATACCCTATCTGTCAATATATTTTACTCACGCGTTTTATTCATAGCAAGCAAGTCTCGTCTGCATGAAACATAATCACACACTAAACTTGGACATAGACACCGTTGCACCGTTGAAGTATAAAATTTTCTCACAATCACATAATCGTGTTCCGATTCGTTCAACCGTTGCGTTCGTGTTAGACGAAATTGAAACAGAGTCAATCATTTAATGCTAAACGTAAGAGGCAAACCGTGACCGAATAAATGAAGATTCTGAATTCACCATTCGCATTTCTGTGTCAACTTTAATTAACAATCACATTTTCATCAACCTTCGCAGTACTTTTGGGTTATCACTTCCATTGTCGGACACAGATTGAATTTCTTAACCTTCCATCTTTGCTATGTAGAAATTCATTTTCTGTTTATACAACTTCAATTTCTTAATTTAAATTTAGACCGCGTTAAAAGTACGCTGCACTTGCGATTTTCACTAATCAGTACGAACTGAAATGGTGCACTTTGTTTCAATGTATTGCACTTTATATTGTTGAAACGTTTGATGTCTTAGGGATTTGTTATTACACTAGCCATGGGTTCTAGAAGGGAATGACGGCTAATAAAAGTTATGAGCGCAATAGGCGTAAAGATATCTCGACCTCATACCAGGCATCGACACACACCTGGGCTCAGTAAAAGTACTTTGATTATTTACCAGTTAGAATAACTCTTGCAAGTTCATGAAGGACTTAAATAACTCCTCTTTCAATTTATATCTGATGTTTATTTATTTCGATGGAACATGAAGTTCGTAAGTAATGTTTGTCGAATGTATTCCTTGTTGTGAAATTAAAACAATTGGCGAACCTGCCGCAAGTTCTTGATAACAAAGGTACAGTGATAGTTTATAATGTTTTAAGTCGATATCGTATTGTGTAAATAAATCGTAAACCCCGTTTTCACAATCATAATATGTTTCTGCTTGCAAATCAATTTCACGTAGCGACATTAATGTGCCTATAGTAAAATTTATATGGGGCTTTACGTCACACGCCACGCCGCTTTCCTTCCACATTAGTTGTACCAACGATAACTGTACGTCGACTGGGTTCGTCGAAACCTGGTCATAGTTCAGGAAATCTAATTAATGTTCCAGTCGTTTTTGCCTTCGTATTGCAAATTATGAAGCTACAACTCGTTTCGGACGCACAGACGCACTTCTAAACCGCGCGCCGCCGAGCTGCGTCGTTGGTCGCCGTGCATCAATGTTGTTAACATATAACAACATTGGAAACTGAACGTTAATGTACACGTACTTGATTTATTAGTGTGTGTATTTTACGTACTGGACAATTAGTATCTATAATTTGAGATACAAGCCTAACTTTCTGCTTGATTACGAAATATTTTGATGCAAATTCGAGTTAAGTTAGTACCTATTGCATTTATGTTCAGTACAAAATAAAGTTCTACATATTTTGCGGTACACATTTATCTAGAAAAGTAAAACATATGTTTTCGTGGTTGTTCACATTAACGTGAGAGCGGCGCAAACGAGTACATACTCAACATTGTAGTCTAGCGCTAGTGGAATGCCGTGAATTAGTTGCGAAGAAGTGCTGTCAAGCTAAACACTGGTCTCCAGCCAAATTATTTTCTTCATTCGTAAAAAAGTACAGAAGTACAAATAAAAAAAAACTATCATAAAGTCACAAGATTAACCTAGTGAAAAATAAATTGCAATAATATGTAGAGCAATTTAAATCCGCAATGTAGCATGCACTGAGCATAAAAAATTGAATTTGATTAACAAGAAGTTTCAACAAATACATGGTTTACATTAACAACGAGGTAATCCATTTCATTGCTAAACTAGAAATAACGATTCATATCGATACAAAAATTCTTTTCTTGTTAAAAACCATCTGTACACTAATAAAATAACCTATTACTATCCGAAATCAAACAACAAAGAGAGGTGAAATGCCATCTGAATAGGCATTAGAATTGGGCGGCGTTCACAAAGGCTGTGTCATTCCATTAAGCCTTCTTCAAGTCTTCCAAGTATTCTGTGTGGCCCGTGGTCGCGTGGCCGCTCTCCACTAAATGTAGCAATCGAATATCAAATCAATTCTATTATACTCTCATACGAGTTACATCTCAGATACCGACTTATACGCATCGCGGTCAGACTATGGAAATTCTGAATTTTGTTTACTTTGTAGTCGGCGTGAAATTTTCATTTCAAATAGGTCAGGTAATTTGATATATTGTTTTTTTTAGCATGTGTTTGCATTAGTTTTATGTGGCATGTACTCTGAATTCCACATCTCAGCAAGTGGAACTGTAGCTAGGCCGGCAGGGAACACAAAACTCTTTCTAATTTGTTAAAACACGAGTCGCCCCATTGAACGCGTTGCCAACTGTTCAAACTGAGGCAACGCCTTTCGGCATGTCAGCGCTGAATATAATGTACGTACCTACGTAGGTAATGAATGGAACTGAATATTTTATTTCAATATAATAGGCTATGTTTGAGAGTGCCCTGTTTGACCTCATTCTGTATTCATAACGCGTTATGTACTAATTTGACGGATTCTTTTCTTTTCTTGCACGAAATGGACTCTTTGACGTCGTCACTTGCCGCTTGGACAAAGGATTTCGCTTAAGAAACTAATAAATATACCCGAAGCTGTTTGTGCGTTAAAAATACCTTAGATTGATCGCGTTGTTTGGTCCAATCAAGCCTAATTGTGAATATAGCAATGTTATATTTCATACCAATTTATTTTCAAGATGATATCGTAAATATATAGGTAAGTAGATTACAGATGAAAATGGCATATGTGGACACACTTGTGCAAATTACAAATGTAAATATTGTTATGTTTGAAAAAAAGTGACTACCGCACAAAATGTTGTTCCAAATTCAATTTTGACCGACCTTGTCTAAAGTATCACTTTAATTATTAAGTAACATTATTTGAAAAATAAATTATTAAAATTATTTAGAATTATAACAATGATATAACAAAAATATAACAATGATGTAGATATGAGTCATTGCTAGAACATTCAAATCCAACAATATATTCTACAAATTCTTGAACCATTTAATGAATGAACCAAACAAATCAAACTAAATCAATTAATGTCAGTCAGGCATAAACAAAACACAATAACATGACCTGCTGCTCCAAATTATTAAATTAATCTAGAAAGCTAAAGCTGGAACCAGTTTTAATATTGTATCTAACATAATTACTAATCTGACAGTCAAATGCAATGCAATTACAAAAACCCACAAGTAAAATTGAAACTGGAATGTAATTATTAAAAGGAAAAAATGATTGTGTAAGAGAAAGGTGTATCTTTGCGACAAAGAGGCGCTTTGCCCTCGGCTCTTTAGATTCTGATTCTGATCTCACGGGCCGCGGCTAATCTGATAATCGCTTTAAAACGTTTCAACACCTAAGCGAGAGTATCGATGACTTCGGTTTTGATAATCAGATTCGATTAGCTTATACAGAAATGATTTTAAGCAAATCATTGGTGATTCATACATTGTTTGTGTTGCTAATTGGTCGTAATTGTCTTACGTTAGTCATAAGCCGAGTTAAAACTACATGATCACAACTAGATCTATTCGAAAGGAAACTCTTTTGAATTTTAACGGATAGCGTACATTATAAGCAAATTATCTAATAAACTGATTTTTATTAATACAAAATGACGTTAAATCAAAGGTCCCGCTTCAAATATCCGTTATATCAATTTGTTTATTAATAGATCGGCATAAGTAATGGCAAGTAAGCGCCCTGAAGGTTGATCGGGCGGTGAGGCATTTCGCCGGCCGCGGGCGGAGGCGGGGGGCGCGTCATATTATGCGGCTAAAAGAGCCTGTCGGTGCCTTTGATCTGCGCGGGCGCGCCGGTAAGATGTGTGCGTGTGCGCAAGATGTGCACCGCTTGTCGGCCCGTGATATGAATGTGACTAAACCTTGATTATGGTACTGAACCCCACATAAAGGTCAGAAATCCAATGCACCGTCATGTAGGTAGTATCATTCTTATAATTGGCTCCATCAAAAACTGTTTAACTCTAATTGAGAAGAGAATTTACGACTGATCCGAGTAATTAACAGCAAACGTTATAGCTGTCGCAAATCTCGTGTTGTGGCTGCTAAAATGTTTATAGCAAAAGATATATGAAAAATGCACTCTCGTTCGCTGAGAAAATTACAAGGTGCAACGCGTTGGCGATCAGTATCGCGCTTCATCGCCGTCACCTAGCCGCGGGCGCATCAGATCGCAGCGCACCGCTCATCGCAGATATTATGCCAACTAATATCGACATTAACTTCCATACTTAAACTATACGCAAATGCATCATTATGCATGAACTTGTGGCATTAGAAAATTCTTATACAAGACATAATGCTCAAGATTAATCTGCAATGTGATTCTTCGACTTTTATAAATTGTACCTAAGCATCAAAGCCGATAACATTAATCATGGAACTCATAATTCAAGACAAAAATGAAATTAATTTCTACAAATGGCCTTATATTTGTAAATAATCTTTCATCCTCTTAAAGCCAAAGCTTGAACAAACGTTTTGTGATGTTCTCGGGCACATCAGATGGACTTATAAGACACTAATCCCGATTTATACACGTACTTCAGAAACTCATATAATTTGAATTCGAATTAAAAATCGAGACATTTTTAGTATATCAAAGAGGCCTGAACGCAGCGCCGCGCCGCTTTCGCGCACCAAATAAATATGAGTCATGCAAGAACAGCACGTAACTATCATTTTTCTAATGCATTTTTTCTATCGCTTTATTATTATCTAAAACCCTTAGGTACTTCGTAATGAAAAATATTTTCATATGAGGCACATTTTTGTTTCAAAAGCTTCGTCTAATCCGTATGTTGTTAACTATGTAGTTTCTAAGTAAACTAAAACTTAACGTGTTACAGTTTTATAAAGCTTTTAGAACAAATTACTTGTCCCTAAGTTGTTATTAAAAAATAATAAGAAAAAAAATTATAAAACCGAGTATCCATACCAAAGTCGTCGGCATCCTTTAAGGCCATGGCTCTCCTCTCCGAACCCTTTCAAATATGTTTGTCTCTTTCTTTTTAATTTACCTTAGACGAAACAGGTCATAAGTCGTAGTGACATTTTTAACAATGCAGTCGAAATGTTTTCGTATGCTAATGATTTATGTGTAAAACCGTCAGTGCAAGAGCTTTTTCGACCAGTATTCGTTTTATTTATACACGGTAAGCCTTTGACGCGATTTAAAGTCCAGCCGCGGGGGAAACAATGAAATATTTAATTTAAGACCTTATGATATATAACAATATGCACCATAATATTTTGAGTCTTAAAATAATCAAACACCAATCATGAAATGAATGACAGTGATCGTCAAATTTAGTAACACAAAATTAGAAAAGAAACTTTTAAAATAGTACAAGGAACTGTAGTTGGAGCAAAAAACTGAAATGTGTACAGAAGTAGATACTATTTACGAACGGTTGTCCATGAAACTAGATGTCAATAAAAAAATGTCGCCGGTAATAAACGTCGACACAGAGAAACGACAGGACGCAAAGAAAACAAAAGTTATTCAGTAATTTTATGACGGGTAATAATTTCTCTTAAAATTTAACAGCAAGATTTGTATACGGTCTCTACAAATATCTACGGATGGTAGTTATCATCTTTTGTTTTGTACCTATTTTCTCCATCTGAAAGGGTTTTAGCTCTGACTCTCTTGAACAAGGCTTTTGCACAACCTTGTTTCACTGTTGTGTGAAATGCATTTTATCATTTCGGTACTACCTATGCGATTTGGTTATTATTAAGTACATGTTTATAAATATAATAAAAACGATCATAAAAAATAGAAGTTTCAATAGGCCTTCGAAAAAACGGATAGTTTCAAGGTAGCTTTAGATAATGAAATATTAAAATATGATCAGCTTCCCTCATTCTTTATCAATTAAGATCAAGATCATTCAGACAATGACTTAAGCGACAATAGATCAGTCGTGACAGAAATTCTTTATTGAAACAGAGACAAACCACTTTCTATAGCTTACGGTCCTTGACCATTCCAGAAAGTGCAGCCTAAACAAGGTTCAGTTATAAACAAGAAAAAAGCAGACTATACTTTATTCGTTTGCCGTGTGTCCGACGCGCGAAGATGAAATATTGTTATATTGCTAGCTGTAAAAGGCACTTTGTAATTTCTTCGTGATTTTATAGTTTTATGATCGTTTCGGGCCCTTTAGTCCGAAACAGCGGTTGTCTGTGTTTATGGCATAATTTAGATCCAACTGCTATAACCGACACATAATCAGCTGCTAAATGTCGGCTAATCATCGGTGAAACATCGTGTTTTATTTATTGGCCCTGTTGTGGTTTTAGAGTCATAATTTGAACTTTAATTGATTTGAACAAATCTGATGCTTGAGTTGTTCCAAGAAATACAGTTTGAAAATAGAACAAATCGGACAACGAATTGTTATTCTTATATTAAAAAAGTGATTAATTAGCCAAAACAGAAATTAAGCATACAATTAATACAAACAAAAATATTAATGTAAATACTGCCCCTAGCAGTAAATAAAACAAATAAAATAAAACAGGTAGTACATGAAATAAAAAACTACAGAAGATAAAAATTAATCTTACAAACAAACAAATAAGTACAGATGTACACATTGTTACAAAAAACAAAGTATTTGAAAACAATAATTATATCGAAGGCAGTACCTAAATAAAAGTAAGATGAAGGCTTACCTTGAAAAGAGTATCCGGTGAAGTACGGTGTCATATTCAGTGTTGATACAGCCATGGACGCAAATAAATTAAGAGCTAAGTGAAAAAGACGAGTAGCTCTAAACACCAAATTAGTCCGAACACATGCAAAAGTCCCAGAAGATCACTATTTCAGTCTTTCACTATCACAGCAAAAACGCAGACATAATTACGTAAAGGAAACTGCGTGTGTCTAATCCGTGTTACTTTGAAGACAGCTCAGTGCCCACTGACGTGTGATGTAAAGATGTATTTCGACTCTCAAGTGTAATCTTTCACAATCAACGGACCAACAAAAAATGGTCAAACTGGCCGCCTCCGCAGCCTTCGAAACTGCTCCACCTGATCGTTTGTCTCTTTCTAACAGCCGACTTTTTTTGTCATCCCACGAATCACCGGTCGCTAAACTTTTAAACAAAACCCTCAATTCTACCGTAAACACTAATAATATTTATAAATTATTAAATTTTCAACACGTCAAGCGACGTGAAAGCTGAATTGTAGCTTTTAATCTAGATTTTCATAGAGTTTTAGCCATCGATACCGTACCGGGAGAGAGACCGGTGTGGAAACGAGATAGCACGAAGCCTCAGATCCGGTATCTTCAAAGCGAAGAACGCTTACATTAACAATGTGTGAGTCGCGCCTGAGTCGCTGTTCCGTGACGAAAAATACGAGGCGTGTTGCCACAACGATCTATGCCTACAACGATCGGGGATTGGTCAAAATTTGATTGGGGCGGAGTTTGTAAGCACACCAAGAAAATGTTACTGCATGTTTGTGTGAGTTAATTGCAATGTAAATCTGTGTTCGTGTACAGGACACATTTAGTTTCAATGTGTATGATTTTTCAGAGTTTTATAGTGTTACTCTTGGTTCTGTCGATTTAATGTTATTAGGTTTTTATGAACCTACGATAGCCCATATTCTGAAATAATATCATAATTAACCATATTTTATAAATTTTAAAAGACTGAATTGCTTATAAATCTTAAATTACTTTTGCCACAAATTCACTTATTGTCCTCTTTTGAAAATGCTTGTCTTACCCCTATTGTCTCGCGATCATCTCATTCTGCGGTCACAATGAAACTGAAACAAAAGCAGTATCCCGTTTATTTGTTTACTTACCTGTCTCCAAAAGGGTTGTTTTAATGTTGTTTTACAATATAAATATTACAAATAAAATTAAAGTAATTCCATTAAGAATGAAATCTAAAATTAATTTAAAAATATGAAAAGTTAAATGAGTACGTAATTAAAGTAAGTTAATTACAAGTTTACAAGTAATTAAGTGAACGTGTCATTGGTAGGTAAATAGTATTGTCTGTGGTTTTTAGCACGGTAACAAGGCCGGGGTTTCATAAGCCAACCGAACGTAAACCTAACTCCACACCAACGACTTAGCATAACAAAGCTTAGCCAAAGGCGGACTCGCATAGATAATTTGTTTTAAGTCTCAGTTTTATTGGACGTTTAAATATAGATGTTCCTCCGATAATTAGTGTGGAATATAGTTTGTATGTTTTGTGTCAGGTAATAATTTCAGGTGAGGTTTTTGAATTTTGGCTATAAGCAGGTAATGCAAAAAGTAGGTGTAAGTAAGTTAAAAATGCGTATCCTACAGAAAAATTAAAGAAAATAAATATTTATATTTGTCTTGTTTTCGGATAAAAATATTTTATTTCATTAGAACTTCATAAAAAACATTGCAGCCTTCTTGGTAATATTTATTTCCTCGCCCCATTTTTGCCAACAGTATTTCTTTACAAAAAATATTTCTTAACGATTTCAATTTAAAAGAACCAATGAGACCATACTTTTTTAAACAAGAGACGCTACTCATGCACGCTTAAAAAAGAGTTTAGTTGGAGCAACACCTCGTTTTATACAGGCATAACAATAAGCAGACCTAATTTAAAAATCGAACAACGTCAAAACTTAAAACAATTGTACACAAGCCTTTAATGAACAAGACAGGAAACAATGCAATATCGAAACGAACAGAAATCGTCGATTCATTAACACTACAGCCTTGAGTTGAGTTACCAACATTTTAATTAAAAATCAACCAACGCTTCATCGCTCTTGCGGTTTACAAAACCCTTAATTTGTATCTGGCCTATTTGCACATTAATAGCTTTAGAAGATTTTTTCGGTTTAGCCTCTACATAAAAGCAATTCGAAGTAAATATCGCGGTTACTCCGATGTTGTCAAATATTTGGGATATTCGTGCTCCATATTGTCTTGGATTGAGTCTGGTATGCTCCCTAATCAACTCAAGCCTCTTGTAATTAAGTCATTGTACCCAAGATTTCGGTTTTAATATTCGCAATCTAATTAAACCTCGCTCCTCAATTGGACTAATTGAAATTTCAAGTAAAATTGTTCATAAAACTTATCTAGATATAAGGTTCCGATTTGTGAGACAAATTTCGATTGTTCAAGTACAATAAAAGTAAATTCTCAGCTTCCCCCTGTCTCCCCGCCATATAAGTTCACACTAATAACTTACAGTTGCAATTAAACCCACAGTTGTCACTTCACGCGTTATTAACAATCTTCATACGAGACTCGTAGCTTGCGCAGCGCACAAAAAAGGCGTGAAATGCGCTGAAATCGTTGCGCATACGCTTCAGGGCCCATTGCGCGCCAAAGATGCCGCTGAAACTATGCGCTGATGGGCCGCACACGAAGGCGGGATGTTTATTTGTACATGATTTTTTATTGACAATAAGAAATAAAAGTGCTTCGAACGTCCTATAAGATTTTTTAGGACTTAAGCAGTTTCATTGTTTTTCTTATGAGAATCATTATGTCTTAAGTTGTAGGCACTTAGTTTGATTTGACACATAACTAAAAATCACAAATGAATACGAATATTGACAAATAAAACGGAAAAATCCATTAAAAAAACACGATACGCTAAGTGTATAAACGGTGCGTACGCGCATGTATCTCTAGATAATTGCCAGTTCTCGATGAACCTCCATTTTATGACTAACTAACACTTTCCCATGAGTTCCCAACAAGCTCGTTTTACTTCACAGCATTATCCACTTAGAGATATTTCCGAGTCGAACGAGAAACAAAAGTGATTAGATAAACGGCTTTTATACACATGAAATCAGAGATCATAAAGTACTAATTACAAATTGGTGTAACAAATCTGTCTTGGCTTATCAAAGCGGGAACACGTGCAGATAAATTATTTGGTTCGCTATTGTTTAGACGCGGCTCGTAGTGTTTGATTCGCGGTGAGTC